ATTTTGGAGTTAGTGGTTAATTGCAATAAAATATAACTTTAAAACTGTCCAAATTACCTACTACTTATTTAGACTTATTTAGGTGTTACATAGTGAATTCTAATACACTACCAGGTAAGTTCTACATTACTGCAGACAATTAATTACATAGTAAAATTGTACCGTAATTACCACGTAATTACATGATAAGGTCGTAATTACCATTTAATTATTGTTACCTTGTAATTACATGGTAATAAGGTAGTAATTACATTTAATTATCATTTTTATTACCTTGTAATTACATGGTTATAAGGTAGTAATTACATTTAATTATTATTTTTATTACCTTGTAATTACATGGTAGTAAGGGTACCGTAAAAGAAAGTGTTACCCATATTTTTAGTTTGTAGTGAATTCTAGCAGGTGATGAATTCTAAATTGAAGTATATGAGCCGTAACACATGGTGAATAAAGATGTTTTTGTGTTTTGTAAGGTCATGTAGCTCTGGCAGCCATCTTGAACACTTACGTTTTATTCTTCCTGCTCTTGCGGCAGGATGAAGCGGGTGCAGCAGCGGGGCCGATGAGCTGACAGAGCTCTGGTAAAGCRTCAGCCAGCGGCCTCATGTCTCCCACCACAGGCGTGGCCTGCCGCCGCGCCTCGGCCGCCTGCTGCTCCTTGGCCTTCTTGATGAAGCTGATCTCTGAGGAAACAACCGCAGAGCAGGAGTGAGGAGCTAAAGGAGCCGCAGGGAGCCGAAGTAGCAGCTGCTGTGTGAAGTTTCTACTAAGTGTTGTTGTCCTCGAAGAAAATACAACTCAGCATTTACCAAACAGRAACAAAGCCAGGTTAGGAGTTTAAAGTTTTATTTTATAACGACAATTTAGTTTTAATCATTTTAACTCATATTTACAAATACTCATTTAAAGTTGTTTAGCTCCTTTTAGCCAGTCCTTTGTCCTTTTTAGCTCTTAGCTAGCTGTTTGTTACATCAACTTTTAGTTTACGATTTTGTGCTTTTTATCTTTTTAGGTTTCCTAAAAACTAGTATTAACCTTTTTGTTAGTCTTTAGTACTTTTAGCCATCTTTCTTGTTGCTTTTAGTTTATATTTAGAAAATTTTTTCTTATGTTTTGGTACTTTTAGCAAGCCTCTTGCTACTTTTAGATTTTAGTTAGCATTTTTGTTACATCAAGCTTTTAGTTTATAATTTTGTGTTTTTTTTTTATCTTTTTAGGTTTCCTTAAAGTTTGCTTATTTTAGCTAGACTTTTGCTTCTTAGAGCTTTTGTTTTTCTTTATCTTATAGCTAGAATTAGCTTCTAGCTACTGTTCTGCTTAATTAACTTTTAACTCRTGTTTTGTCTCTTGTAGCTTGTAGCTAATGCTTGTGCATTTTAGCTTTACCAGCTCAGTTTCAGCTTCTTCAGTAAGTTTTAGCAGTGGTTCMGCTCTCAGCGCTCACTTTTAATTTACCAGAAAATATCATTTGTCTGATTAATATTTTCAGCATAAATCACGTTTTGTTATTCTTAGAGACCAGAGTTGTAAAGTAACTAAGTACAAATACTTTGTTAGCGTACTTAAGTAGAAATTTTGGCTATGTGTACTTTACTTGAGAAATTATTTTCAGCTTAATTTTTACTTTTACTCTTTACATTTTTATAAAAGGTAAGAAGTAGAAAGTCATTACTTTTATTTCATTATGGCTTGTTGTTTATAAAAAAATATCCTGTGCCTTCTGGATGTAGTGAATTTAATTGTGGTTGGATGAGAAGTGTGTGTGTC